AAATGAGGTACCTAAATTTGTATTTTTTTAAAGAACTAAGTGAAGCAGATTGACATGTTCCCCAACATATGGTAGACCCCGTTGCCTTTAAGAGTGCAATCCTGTCATGTTTTTGGACGGTTTGGGTTTTTTTTTAAATATGTAATTTTTATGAGCCGAGGACATAACATGTCATTCTGGTGTTTGTTACAATAAGCAGTTTCACCGGAATTTTTGTTTTCAAGGAAGGAAGCGGAAAGTAATAGTAATGATTTCGCGTTTGCTGCAGAGTGTACTTGATATGAATTTTATGTACATTGCTACATATTCTGTTTTTTTACTTCTGATTTTAGACATAACAAATTTTATATTTGTGGGGAGTAGTTTTAGGAGGAGGAGCAACAGGAAATGCACTTAAAGAGGGCAGTGCATTGAAACTGCAATCCAAAACCTTTTGCCTTAGAAATAACCTACAAATGTTATATATTTTAAGAGTATAATTGAGCCTTTTATAGTAGTCTAATTTAGTCAATAAGTAAATTTTTATTGAAGGTAAAAATTTAAAGTTGATGGCATTGTCCTAGGACATTTTTTCCTGACAGGATGAACACCTAAGAGACTGTAATCTCTCCAAGAGCCAACATCAGTTAGTAATGGCTTGTCCTCAGAAACCATAGGGCACACCCAACTTATGATAATGATGCCAGAAATATTAGTATTTTTAATTAAACTCTTGATGTGTTATTAAAGGGTATTTAATTTGTGGGTTATTTTATGTTCTTGTACTAACTAGAGAAGTTAGGGATGTATCATTGAATGAGATGGTAGGATGGCATGAAGAGTGAATTGGAAGTGGCAAGTGGCCATAGCATATTTCAAATTATGGAGTGTTCAGCTGAGATGGAAATGGGCTGCTTGCAGCAGTGTGCTGTTAGTGTATTGTGTGACTGTAGAGGGAACAGTCAAAGCTTTTTTTGTGCCAGTGGACGTAACTTGAACAGAACTTCATTTCTGACTTGTGTAGAAAGGTGACATGGCTTAATCCTGTTTTATAAGAATCGACCCTTTTGCCTTCAGGCATGCCCCGCAGTGCATGAATAAGTTTTGTGATGTACTTTGAAGTCTGAAAGCGAATATTTTGTCAGTTAACAGTACACCACAGCATTACTTTTACATTGGGTAAAGGAACTTATTGAATGTCATGAGGACCACCTACTCTGTTCCCTCTGTGGTCATGTGAGCTACTGCCACACTGTTGCGGATACCATGTTTCCGTCTCATTTGAACATGCTCTGTTGTTGTGGCAGTTGTCTGGAGAGACTGAGAATCACTACAGAAAATTCTCACTGAGGTGCGCTGGTGCTCTGGCCAAGGTATGAACCAGCTACTTCCCAGATGCAAATTAAAGGCAATACTACTGTTTCATACTTATTCAGTTGGAAGGACACAACTGAAGCTTATTTTTTGGGAAATCCCTCTGTATATAGTTTCCATTCCAAGCTTTTACTAATGCTCCCTGGAATAGAGTCTTTGTGAAAGCTGGTGATCAGTCAGCTGATCAAGAAATTCCTTGTGTCATTGGAACTCAAAAATTCATTACCATATTCGCAAGAGTCCACAAGCCCAAGGGCTTTTATGAAAANCAAACTGCTGGCTGTCTCTAACTGCCTGTTCAATATATTCACAACTATCTTTCACATCTGGAGGTGTTCTTTTCCATCCAAAACCAAGGATGCACCATGCCATGGCTTCATGTTTGCTTTTTATGTGGTGATCTTTTTGTATCCTGGTGTTGTGTTCAGGACCACCATACAAAAAGCAAACATGAAAAATATGCATATGTAATACTCGTATGAATCCAGTATGTGACAAAGTAGACATACCCTATGAGAACCTGGTTCTGTTGTGCCCATCAAGAAAAGCAATCATTACATAAGGCTCGATGCTACACATCTAAATGAAATGAATACAAATAATAAAAATTGGAGTAATAACAAGAATAATAATTAACCATCATTTGTCTAATTTTAACTAATTTGAATTATCCAATCCATTTTAACTTAATTATAAAACACAGATTTTAAGGCAAAATTTGCAAATTTTAAAGATGTTTGTATTGCGAATAATGCATACCCTTTGGAACTCTGTGGTTCTTTAGTCCGCAAGCACTGTTGCTAGTCAGCGAAGTTAGTGCCAACTTCAATGGATATAGAGTGTCGCGTGGTCAGCACAATGAATTGTCATGGCCGTTGATTTCAATTTTCTAGACAGGAAGGAGCCTCTGTTTCCTTGAAATAGCTCCTCAATTATCCTCACAAGGCTGAGTGGACCCCATTCCAGACCCACTACTCAGAAAATCTGATAGCGCCGGCAATCGAACCCAGACCTCAGAATCTGTAACCAGGAACTCTGACCATTAGACCACAGAACACTAGAGCAAAAGTTTATACAATTTACAGTATTTGTTTAAGTCTAAAACTACAAACCTTCATTGTAAACAACATTACCTTCCCCCAGTTGTAAATATTGACCAATGGAAGGGGAATAACACAGGGGAGTTGAGAGTGTCTGTGTAAGTACTGCCTGATGATGGGCAAAAATGTCATAATTACAGAAAACTGTATAGTTATCCTAGAGTTATACATATATTGAGATACTGAAACTGAATACAATATTTTACTCACTATACGATGCTAAAATACATTATTACTCTGGAATATAGTAAGTTTCTTTGATGTATGTAATGTGTATTAGCCTACATCACTAACTGATGATGCTGCTGGTGGTGGTGATTATGATGCACCATTTTTCTCGCAGTATGTGCAATATAATTATTGTCAAGAATACAAAGCCTCGGCCCTGGATGGATTCCTTGGACAAACGACTTAAGCTAAAGAAAATGGAGGGTGTTTGAGAACAGGGTGTTGAGAATATTTTTACCGATGAGAGATGAAGTGACAGGAGGTTGGAGAAAACTGCATAATGAGGAGCTTCATAACTTGTACTCTTCTCCTAGTATAATTAGAATGATCAAGTCAAGGAGGATGAGGTGGGCAGGGCATGTAGCACGAATGGGGAAGACGAATGCATATAGGGTATTGGTGGGAAAGCCAGAAGGAAAGAGACCACTGGGAAGACCAAGGCGTAGGTGGGTGGACAATATTAAAATGGATCTTAGAGAGATAGTATAGGATGGTATGTGTTGGATTGATCTGGCTTAGGATAGGGGCCAGTGGAGGGCTCTTGTGAACGCGGTGATGAAGCTTTGGGTTCCATAAAATGCTGGGAAATTCTTGAGTAGCAGCAGAATTGGTGGCCCGGGTTCGATCCCGGCTCTGGTCAAGTGGCGCTGGGGAAGGTTTTCTCTTGAGTACTTCGGTTTCCCCCANTTTGTATCATGTTATATATATATATATATATATATATATATATATATAGTTTTTATGCTCAGTTATGGATAAGTTTTGTACATAAATAGAACTGCCATATTATGAATGATGATTTAACATGGGTTGTTACAAATTGTCACTGTGCAGCCAAGTTATGAGGGTGATATCTGTATAAGTGTATGTATATATGCAGTGTACTGCATACGGTAAATGCAAAGTATTCTTGCAGCAATCCCCACAATAGGGCAGAAAACATCAGTGATTCAGAACCTAATTCCCTGACAAAACTCCAGTCCCCCTGTGATACCAAGCAAGAATAATCTTGTTTAGTGTTAGTTCCAAAATGTATATGTGACCAATTCAGTGAAGAAGATAAACAGTCAGATGTAAAAAAGGATTACAGTATTTATGGAATGTTATGTGTTCACTGAAAGGTATTTTGGTATTCCATTTAGTTGATTCATGGATCAGAAACAGAGTTCCTTGCACAAATGCCATTATTAGATAAAAAAACAAATTAAAAAATTAATTGGGGAAGGTGTTTTTGGTCTATCCTATCCAGTACAGCCTCTGTAAAGTCTGCCTAAAGCACCATTGAGGGTATGTCATGCTTTATTTAGGCAGCATCATGGAAGATAAATTGTGTATATATCTGGTATGGCAGTTTTGGTTCCTGTTATATGTTGAAAATACTGTAGAATCTAGTAACATTCTGATAGTTATTGTAAGGACCTGCATTCCCATGTCATGGGAATGTAACATGAATGATACTTTAGACACAGTTTAACAAAGAATTCTTCCCACTAATGTGCAGATTATTGACTTGGGAATATCATCAGATGTACAAGTGAATTTTGATGCTTCATAACCTTAGCATTTTGAAATAACCAGATAGGTAATAAAAACAGTATAAGTACAGTCCCACTTTTACAAACACCTGATAGGTCTTAGACAAAATACTTTAAACAAGGTGTCTTGTTTGGCACTAAACGCTATTTCTCACTGGAATGAGCATTAAACAGACACACAGTGGTATTAATATACTGGAGTTTTTTCAGAGGATTTTGTTAGTCCCTTTGTCAGTGCAGCCAATCCTTGTGAGCAGATGGCACATGTGTGTCAGTTCATTTGTTCCTTTGCACTATATACTGCATTTTCTTGTATGGTAGTACCACTACCAGGTGAGGTTATGTTGTAAATATGAAGTTTTACTGTAATAAATGTGTTAGAAATAAGAAAAAGCTTTAAAGTTTAGAAGGTATAAAAATCCCATCTACATATGTTTTAAGATTTGGTAGATGTTAGTAAAATATTGCTACTCTGATTTGAGAATTTGATTCAGCCACTGATATAAACAACAGTGTTGAAAAGGGGATCAATAGTCAAGTTATACTTGCTCTGTAGTTTTTTTTCTTCTTATCACCTAGAGTAACCTTACATGAAGGTTTAAACTCAAAGAATCATCAGATGTTGACTGCAGGATTGAAAACTTGATAGGATACTCTAGTAATGCAAGCAGGATGACTTTCTGAACACTGCTGGCATCAAACACAGAATCTATTTTTGAATCTGGCAAGTGGGGAGCCAGAGTTTTGATTGGATCTTCTGCCTTAGCTAAGGCAGTTTGCTAAGCCTTTGCTGTGGATGTTGCTGAGTCGTGCAGGTGCTCAGGGTTGTTGGTGTGCAAGGTGGGGAAGTGGCAAGGGCGTTTCAATAACACTTGGTAAACTAAGTTGTTTCTGTTCTGAAACTTTCAAGAATATCAATTTAATTTGTTTGTTTCATTTTCAAAAGACTGGAACCATGGTGTGGTCTACTATTTATGATACAGAGAAGGTAAGAGGAGGACTGTGGAGTGTGTATTTAATCCTTTCTAAATGTCTGAACCAATTATTAATGTAGAAAGTTGGATATTTTTTATGGAATGAATTTGTATACATTTAATGTTTTATTTATTGTACCGTAATTATGTTGTAAGGTTTTTCATTTGCAGATCCACTTCTTTTTTGTATAATGACAATAGTACATCATTGTTTTATGGTAATAGCATGCATAACATTTAATTAGTTCATTGTAGAATTTTTTTGTGTTTTGTAGAGTTATGTTTTATATTGCCACGTTCAGAACACTGAGTACAATTCGGACCCCATTCTCAATAAGTAAATATACATACATGTTGTAGATCTGTGAGTTGGAACTAGCTGTGGTCTGGGTGATTAAAAATGGTATTTAATATTAATTCTAGTCTGTCATCAAAAAGAATGACTAGCGAAAGGTAAAAGCTATCCCTGTAATAGGCTGTGGAGGCCCATTAGGTTGTGAACTTCCATATTTTCTAGACAGTCAGTTCACAGATGTTGGTGAGGTTGTCAGTCTTATATGCACAATGCCCTTTGCCCCCAGGAAGATTCCTGGTACTCATTTCTGTTAGACGCTGAGATGACTAGGTATAGGAGGAAAGTGAGTACATTTTCTATTAGAAAGTGAACCAGCAGTTAAGAGGGGTTGTGGAAATATAAATCCTTAAACTTTCCTCTCATGTAAGGGTTTTGGTAAATGCACAATGTTCTATGAAGTGTTGTAATCTTCTGTCCTGTCGTGTTATTGTATGCCACTGACTTTGATAACATCGAATTGGCAAGGAACTGTTGTGGTATTGAACATTGAATGTTATGCCACATCTACATAGGTGGAATAATTATTCTCCTTTATTATTTCATCTTCAACATCATTCATTAGTTAGATGTTTAAATACTGAGAAGCAGGGTAACTTTTATTTTCTGTTGTGTTACTTCGCTCATCACATTCTTGAAGACACTGCTCTGACTAGACAACATGCTACTGCCCATGTATTCATGCTTTTTCTACATTGACATAGTTCATGTCCTATCATCTTACCNCGGCAACCACAACTCGTAAGGAGTCGTCTAATTTTATTTATTCATTACAACATTCCCTATGCATGCTGCAGTAAATTATTTCTGCCCAAGTTGTATTCAGCAGTCCAGTACTACTGATTGCCCTTGTGATGAGTATCAAGCAGGATACTGTATGATTAAATCATTTATTTATTCACAAGAAGAAATAATAGCCAAGAAGGGGATATGAGAGATGGGGGGGGGGAATACAAGAACAAGAATATGAGCAATGGAATGTTGTCCCTGTTCTTAATTGAACACTCCCCATAAAGACATATTGTAATGCATTGATCAACACATTGCCAGGCAGCAGCTCTGTAAGCACTTTACATTATGCAACATTAGAGGAAGATGTGTTTTCTATGTCGTCCGCACCAAGCAACAGCAGGAACGGGATTGTCTGTGACCAGTTGCTAGGTTACGCAGTGGTTCTTACAATAGAAGTGTGATTTTTGTGTGGTCTGTGCCATGGTTTTATAATGAGATTCCAGGAATAATGAAGGCAGGATTGAGGATTGAGTAAGAGGATTGACAAAAAGGGAAGTCTCAAATCTGAGACAGTACAATATGGTCGCAAGTCCCAAGGGACTTGGACCCAAGAAAGACTGCGCTGGCAAGGGCCAGCAGCATGTGCAAAAGACAGACTCGTCCTTTTGTAGAGAGGGCCACCCAAAAAACAAGACCGTAACTGTCAAACGGTAATAATTAATATCTGGTCATGAGCCCCAGGTGGGGCTCGACACCAAGACTTACTGACCGACCGACCGACCGACTGACCATCAGTCGCAATGTGACTTTGACTTTGACTTGAACCAAGATAGTGAACAAGATTTTGCGCACCATTGGAAATTTTCCAAGGTGCACACCAGTCCGCGACTTGCACACAGCTTTCAACTTTCCATATGTATACAATCATATAACGAAATTGTACAGATGACAGGCAGAAGTAATACAAAATCATGAGAATGAACATGCTTGTGGTATATGACAAGGTGAAGCCAGACGCAGAAAATATAAGAGGCTTACACTTGGTGGTGGTCAAGCTTTTGACTGTTCAAATGACTAAGTTGTCATTGTAGCATAAGATATGTAAGTAAGGCATGATCTGCTCTGTAAAGCCTGTACTGACAGAGGACTTGTGTGTATTGCAAAAGGAAGAATTTTCGATGACATGTTATAAGTGTGAAATATACATTTGACGAAAGGCCAAGCGTATTCATAAGAGACAAACCCATCTTCTCGTCAGAGAGGATGTTACATAGGGACTATTACCACAAGAGTTCAGTTGGAAAAAAAGAATCTCTGGTCGTGGGTCTCAAGGAGCTTGACACCAAGACAAACTGATTGGCGGTAAACCTCTAGTTGTTAAGTAACTCTGACTTTTACTGTGTCCAAGGCAGTGATAGTGACAGAGGTGAGTTGAGGGCAATTATGAAAAAATAGTGGTAGAAACATGTGAACGAGATGAATTTGGATTAGGAGTACAGAAGAGTACAGGAAGAGGACCTGTGAAGACTTAACATGTGAATTGAAGACTTTGTGTTTTGGATAATTACAGTAATCTTGAAAATGTTAACAATTATTTGTTGTTAGAACTAGTGAAGATCCAATAAACCGATTCACCGATCCAAACTCGCATCTTCATAACCAAAAAACGTGGCAGTATGGAGGAGTGGAATTATGGTTCCACCATTTGGACCTTGGCACTGAATGAAGGCAAGTGGCCACCTTTTCCCAGCATGCTAGGTATCAATTGGGTGGGAGGCTCAGTGGTCGCTGGAGATGGTCTGGATGCTGGGGAGTAGAGAAAATCTCTTTCCCCTTCCAGGAACTGAACCCTGCCCATCCAGCCCGTAGCCTGTCGCTATGCCAGCTGAAATATCCTGGCTCCTGAATAAGAAGTTTAACAAATATGATATTAATCTAGCAGTGTCTAAGAACAGGTAGTAGAAATATAAGTTTTGATTCAATGAAAATTTCTTCCCAAGACATTCTTAAGAACTCTGAAACATAGGTTAGGAAATGTAATTTGTGAAATAAAAATTAGGAAGATCAGATTGGATCGATACAAATTGTAAAGTGAAATAAGGAAGTGTCCTTTTTCCAGCATTGTTTAATGTCATGAAGGATGAAATAATAGTAATATTAAGAGTTCAAAAGACCGAACATGAAATCAGTATTTGCAGATGCTGTTGTGAGTGGGGGGAAAGACAAAAAGCAAATTTGCAAAAGGTAATGGACTTTGTCCATTGTCTAGTATTCTAAAAACTAGAGAACACAACATTTCAGAAACTGGGTCTGTTTATGTCCTCAGGTGAGGGGGGAGACACTCTGTTGGGTCCATTAGAGCTAACCTCAATCACTGGACAACTTATGTCAGGATAGCTACAGCTATATAAATACCTGAAAAACCCCAAATTAACCCAGAGGGTCAATTTGTAGGCTGGGATGAAGCTAGGATTTTGGATATTGAAAGTAACAGGAGATAAAAGAAATACAGGGAATTGGTCCATATGGTATGCTTAACCAATCCAATCAGCCAACCTATTTTTTAGAATATTGTAAAATGGACAAAGTAAAAAAAATCCAGTAATTATGAGTTATACCTCATTGTCAGAACCCTTCAGAATCTACCCTTGTAGTAACCATATTATAAAGAATTATTGGCTGGAAATGAATATTGATGAGAGTGACTATGAGGATATCATTGAACCAAGACACAAATGTCAGGGTGAAAGTTTACAGCACAATGGTCAAATAGGTGGATACATTTATTTATTTGGGAAGTGAAAATTGATGGCTTCTCATAAAGTTTTCATTTCCAGGGAGTTAGTTGGTGAAATACATTCTGAAAGGGAAATCGATGGAGAGGTCAGTAGAGGAGTACAAGATGATTTTAAATTATATCTACTATAAAAATAATATTAATGGAACAGAGATCCCAATACAATGCAAAACAGCAATCTAGAACTAATTTTAAATTATATATGTATAATGGCAAAACATGGACCTTTACAAAGAGAAATTGTAGCAAAATCCTACCAGTGGGATGGAGTGCTGAGAGAAAAATAAAAAGGGATAGGATAGAATTAGAAATGAAACTTATAGATATAAAGCAATTCCAAATTTGGTATGAGAGAAGAGATTACAATATATGAGGCATGTAAAAAGAATCTGATGAAATAAGGGTACTGAGAGAGACATTGAGATTAAAATTTAAAGGAAATAAAACCTATTCGACAACCCAGAACAAGCTGGTTTAGCCCGATACTGGAATATATCAAGAAGAGAGGAAAGTGCTGGGAAGAAAGAAGAGATTGGAAACTTCTTATTCATCAAAACATACATGATCATAGGAGGAGGAGGAGAATAAGAACTATAACTTCCTGAAATTTCTAAACACAGATGAAACATATGATGACAAATAATAGAACAAAATTTTAGAATGTCAAATATTAGGTTGTGTTTCACTGTAAGTATGGTACTAGTTGTATGCAGTGTTATGGAAAATATGAAAGTTTATGATTAATTTGTTTGGCTACACAATTTGATGTAGTATGTAAACCACTGTTTCCTTGTGTACTGTCTCATGTACTACACTAATCTTCCCTGTTCTGTTGAACACTTTTTTGTTTTATAGGATGTATACATGCAAATACCACATTGTTCCACTGAGAGTACTAAGGATGTACTTTGCATAACCCCAGTTTTATGTATTGTGTGGTCCTTTTCAGTGGATGCCTTATCAATGGCTGTCTTGCTGGCTTGCATTGTAAGCAGTCATCACCCACTTTTTCTTTGTCAAGCTGGCATTTTATGCAGAACCTCCCTTCTCACTGTTACCTTCTTGGCAGTTTTAAGAATCCTGCATTCATTTACATACATTAGTCCATAATGCCATATTTCCGGTTTCTTCATGTTATCAACTTACCCAGTTGACTTTACTCCAAGTTTTTTGTCACCATCTCATAGGAGTTAGGGATGATATCCTCAAAATATTTAGTCTTCTGTCATTTTCTCCATCTGTATATTGCTATTTTCATCCAGTTATTGCAATTGTTGCTGTTGGCAACAAGTGTTCTTTCATTTATCAAGTGCAGTACTGATTGTTCTAGATACATTATTCCTGGCATAAATATTGTATTCTTCACACAAAAATGGCTTCGTTCATGATTGCAAATTATCTTTACATGAGGTATGCCAAAGAATGGGTTGACATAATAGTAACTCTGTAGTTTGATAATCAGGGGGTGCTCAGTCTGAATCCTGGCTGGGATACCAGTTACCTTCACAGGTTTCTGTGGGATTTCTCCATCACTCAGGCACATGCTGTGATAATACCTTGACTAGGCCATGATGGCTCCCTTCCAAATACTTTTCAATGCATTTTTCATCAGTTATCTGATTGTTTGACACTATGTAGTCCAGGTACAGACAGCTTCATAAAATAGCTGTTAAAAAGAATTAACTGTGCCCTTTCCAGATATCAGTATTTTTTTGTGACTTGTCAGTTTGTTTCATTCTTGATCATAGTGGAAAAATATAAAATAACCTGAAAAAAGAATTGACTGAGTCCTTTCTGGATATCATTGTGGTTTTGTGACTGCTGAGTTTCTTTATTGTTGATTGTTTTGGAAAAATATAGTATTTTGTTGGCATGGGGTGTTGGGATCCTCAAAAACCTGTAACAAATTATCCATTCTAGTGCTATTTAAATTTTATGAGTAGATGTTATGTAATTTGCTGTTAGAACACAATGCATATTGAAAGCAAGTTTCATTGTACCTGTTTTCTTCATGGCATCCAGTTAGAGTAGTTGTTTACAATGAAATGAATAGCAAATTTGTGTTGTCAGTAGGTAGTATGTTACACTACCTGATTTGTGTTGTGATCCAGCTGTATCGTGCAAATCCTGACATGGAAAGTGTACAAGAACACTCCACATACACTGGAAGATCTTTTGTGAAGCTGAGCAGGCAATTATACAACATAAACAGCAGCATATATATAAACATTTTGTAAAAGATATTGAAATATTGAAATTGTTGAAGCAAGATTTTTGCAGCATCTGGTTTGGCAGTTACAGAGACTTAGCATCAGTTTCCCATGAAGACTGCCAGGTCTCATCATATTTCACAACTTCATAGATGTGCTGATTTTCACATTTCCTGGATCAGTATTCAACTTGTAGATGGCATTTACTATTACAGGTTCAATTCACCACTGCTGTTACTAATAACACATTTGACAGTGAAATGATTTTGTGAAACAGTAGTATTTGCAAGGTACAGTTGATCAGTCACTGAATGTTGCAGTATAATGATTAGCCCTCTTTTATAATCTGGATATTCTTGACTGATTATCCTGAATGAAGTGTTTCATAAGTTCTGCAGTCCTGTAATACAGATGCTAGTTATACCTTAAGCTAGACCATGAATATATTTCCTCCCATACTCTTATCACCTATCTGTAATAATTGAGTCATGTCTCATGGATGGTCCAGCCGTAATGCTCGAGATTTGTATTTGAGAGGTGCTTGATTCAAATATCATCTGGGACACCAGCTAGCATGAGGATTTTGTTGGTTTTTCTGAGTCCCTCTAGGAAAATGCTACAATAGTATTTGGATTAGGCCGTAGCAGTTTTCTTCCATATGATTTCCAGTTATTCAGTGATCATCCAGGGTTGTTTAGTCATGATACTGACAGTGTTGCTAAATAAGCAACAAGAGAAGTTTCATGGGAGATGTGTAACGTTCGCAGGTGACACAATATCATTAAATAACCCACTAAGATGACATTTATAATAGAGACAGTTGTCGTTTAATTAAGACCTTAATCCATTACTGCTACAGTTAAGTTATTGTAATTTATTGTATTGAAACTGATTAGGACACACTCACTTGGACAAAGAACATCATAGTTTATAACTCTGAATCTTGTAATGTATTGATAAGGCAGTGTGACTGTCATGGCTGAGATTATCTGAAAAAACATAACTGTCAGTATTGTGGTTGTTTTTTGTTCATTGACCTTTATACCATTATTCATTCTGCTTGTGTAATAGCTTTACTTTTTTTTAGTACTGCCTATTCTGGTTACATAATATACACTTGTCATGTCTAAATTGAAGACAGCATGCCTGCATGTTCATACTTCTTGATTATTTATACCAGATTTGTTGTTTTAGTTGGTGTTGGAGTAAGTAGGATGTGCACAGCATATTTGTTTGTGAAAAGGTTGCTAATTTCATTTCTTTGCTATAGTGACATACACGTATAGGCTTTATTACATTACTGTAGTGGAGCTGGGCAAACAATTCTGTTGAATTGTCCACCCTGTCCGCCCTCCCTTCCTGTGCTTTTTCTACTCTACTCCAATTTCTTCTGCAGAAATGTCTGGATTGCTTATTCCACAGTGTTATGTAGGGATGGTAGACTGGAGGAACATGACTTCCCTTCCTAGCAGCTCTTGTGTCCACTGCCTGTGGAATTCTTTGGCCTGCTCAGCTATAGTGTTTTTACTTTCATTGTCATTTTAAAACAGGATTTCTGTTTTTCTTTGAGAGGATTCAAAGGAAAACTTATTAGTGCAAAATCTCCAAATAAAATTCGGTGATTTGTATTCTGTCTGAAGAATGTTACTTCACTGTTGTTGCAAGCCCGTGAACCAAAGGAGCTGTAGTTTTTTTTCTTGGTGGATATGCTTACATATTCTTCATTTTATACTACATTTCATACTTAAAGAACTTAACAGTTGAATAAAATTAAAGCTGATTGCTTTTATTTAATTCGTAACTTATGCTCATTACATATCCAGATCATACACAGTCAAGGAAACTGAGATTCGAGTTCCCAATTTTAGAACTTAAGAAGGGGATTCTTGTTATGGGTTTATTTATATTAATGAATATTAATAGTCAGTCTTAATTAGTGCTCGTTATGATGTGGGAAGAAGTGAAATGGCATCCTCCTTTTTTTTTCTACACAACAGGGAACCAACTTATTTTTAAATCTTATAATGTTAATTTACTGTGTAGCCAAACTGAGCTGGACTGGAATTCTGAGGGGGGGGGTCATTTAAATTTTTCTTAAACTTGAGGCATTATGCTTATTTAATTTGAATGTTGTTTTAGAACCTGAATTGATAAGTTTTATTATTTTTGTCATGCCACAGATGGACATACCTTCAAGCCAAGTCCCTCGGATGCAGTTGCAGGCTGCAGATGCATCATCACATCTGGATCATATGTGTGCCCTTGACATTGACTCAAAAGCTTCATATGTCCGCTTGTCAGGAATCATTTGCACAATTGGTGGGTGACTATTTTGTGAAGTTAATGATACTTAATTAAGGGTGTGTGTTTGTAATATAAGCATTTCTTTGCTCTCAGAATTGCTGATAGTAGAATGAATCAGTTCTTGGTTTATGTAATTGTAGGTTTGAAACCCTAGGGAAGATGAATTCTGTATAATAATGTAGCTGCTATGAAATTTTTCTCTAAATTGAATTCAACCAATAGATGGATTAGATGGGTGGGTAGGTGGGTTTGTGGTTGGGTAAATGGGTGTCGGGATGGAGGGATGGACAGACACATGCATCCAACAACCCATCACATAAATCTGAGATAACAGCTGTTTGAAGAGATTACAGGAATTAATAATTATACATTATTCTGATGCTTTCCTGTGTAATTCATTCTGCTGCTGATTTTTCACACTTAGAAGTTAATTACTTCAGAGTTTTCTGCTGTTACTGTGTTTACAATTTTAATTCAAGTTGACACAGTTTGCATGTATCTTCATAATGTGACAGCATAGAAAATTTAACATGCTTAGCAAATGGTTCATCACTAATATTTGTGGTAATTATGTTCAATAACAACTTGTTTTTTTTATTTCTAGTTATTTTGCTTTGAATTGCCTTCATTTGTCATGTTGTAAAGCATTTTATTAGTGTGATGGTATTAAAAGGGATGATGGGTGAGGTGGTTTCCATTGGCATGACATTTATGCCAAATTGAATGAACATTGGTTATTTGGTTCACAAAATATTAATGGAGACACAGACATGCAGAGACATGATGATAAAAGAAAAGTGACTTTGTGTAGGAATGAATTGTTGGCATATAAAACTTGACATATCCTTTTAAGTTTGAGAAACAAAACTTACTGAAACTGAGAGATGTTATACATTAAGTACAACTTTGATAATTTTATCTAGGCCCAGCATCCAGAGATGTAGGAATGCTAGAGAAAATGATGGAAACTGGGATGAATATCGCCCGTCTCAACTTCTCCCATGGTAGTCATGAGTATCATGGAGAGACCATCACTAATATCAGAGCAGCTGTTGCTAACCATAGCAAGAAATTAGGCATGAACTATCCCTTGGCTATTGCCTTGGACACCAAGGGCCCTGAGATTCGCACAGGATTATTGGAAGGGGTAAGTAAAGAGTGAAGATGTCCTTGTGATCAATTATGCAAGCACCACACCATGAAGATGTGTGGGAGAGTGGAGTTATAGCTCCAGCACTAGATGGGGATGTGTGGTCAACTTCATGCACTGGCCATTTTACCCCTGTAGTAAAAGCCCCTGGTATCCATTGTATTGGAGGCTGGGTGCACTCCAGTGCTGATAGATACTGTGAAGAAGAGAAAAATCTCTTGCCTCTGCTGGGAATCAAACCCTGTTCCTCAGCTGTCTAGCCCGTATCACTGATTGAGAAACAAGAGATTTTAAACAACACAAAAATTAGAAAAATTGGTTGTAATTTTTTACTATAAAGGAGAGGTACAATATATTGTATATGTGAGGGCTACCCATATGGAGTAAACACAACACACAAATCCATAATAGATATAATTTGGCTCCCGTAGTTTAAATGTCATACATTTTCCAGCAGAGAAATGGTGCAGTGTGGATATTTTATGATGGGTTGGTAGGAACTGGTAAGAAAATAGTACATTATTTGTTTGGAAGGACTTTGGTGAACGTTAGCAGCTTTCAACCGAGACTGATTCATGTTACCTTCACACACTTCATGTAATACTCATCTCTTGCCAGGGTGGGTCAGCTGAAGTTGAATTGAAGAAAGGTGACTCAATCAAGCTAACAACGGACAAGGCACATGCTGAGAAAGGGACTGCTCAGACAGTCTTTGTGGATTATGAGAACATCACTAAGGTGGTGAAGAAAGGCAACAGGGTGTTTGTTGATGATGGACTCATATCGCTTGTTGTCAACAATGTTGGTAAGTACATCTGCACTTCTTTCATTGCAGGAGATGTGCAAATAATGAGTTTCCTTTTTATATAATATAGACTCAGAAATTGAAGACAGCTATAAGATAACTAGTTCCGAGTCACTGCGTTGGTTATAACTGCTGTGTAAAAAAATCCATAAACTGAAAACTTGAGTTGCTTTAAGTTAAACCTTTCAAGTGAATTGAGCTCCCATACTAAAGCTTCCAAAATAATATGTATCCCCTCTCTTGATATGTACTAAATATAACGTTATTGGTTAGAAGTATTTTTTGGCCTTCTACATCATGAAAATAAGCTGAATTCTACTAGCATAACAAATTTGTTATAGAAATATATTGTGAGCCGTAATAATTTCAAGTGAATTTGTGTGTGTTGGTTTGCATCAAGTTGTAAATGTATGCTGTAAAAATGTAAGCTATTATTGGACACTTAACAACAACATTCCAGCTCATATGAGGTGCTACCAGAAAGTTCCCGGGCTAAGCAAAAAAAAATGCTGGCTTACTGAATTTTGGCTGCCATCTCCTTCAAAATAGTCTCCTTGGGAACGTACGCAGTGATCCCATCGTTTCTTCCATGTTTCAAAAGCACCGTATAAGTAATTTTCATTAATGCTATCAAGTACCACTTGCAATTCCCTTTGAATCTCAGACACTGTTTCAAATTTTCATCCATTCAGCTTCATTTTCAATTTGGGAAACAAAGCGAATGAAAGGGGGCTAAATCCGGCAGGTAGGGAGGATGAGAAACGATGTTTCAGCATGGCGGATCGTATAGGAGGTAGTGCTAATAAAGCTACAGTTTTAGCTACTAATAATAGTGAATCGAGTGAAGTTATGTGTAGTTGTTATGTTATACTTAAATTAGAATTAGAAAAAAAACTCTGATTGCACTTAAATCTATGCTGAAAGTTGCTGAATTGCTGCACAAAGCAATAAAGTTAAATACGTAACACCAGACAGGAGAAACAGATGCAAACTACCTGCAGCAAAATGAGGATTCTACACAATGGGAGATGGGTCTGTTGTGAGTCGAAAATGTCAGAAGATGAACCGGAACCCTCAACAGTTTAAAATACCACTGCTGGTCAATCATTTTGTGATGCCCTTGGAGAAGTTTCTGGATGCTATAGAAACAGGGCAAGAAGACTATAACACCTAGAGCTGCAAAAGAAAAATCTAGGAGACATAGAGTCTTGCTACTTGGGGATAGTCAAGTGAGAAGATATGCAGACTTGCTGAAACTGAATTTAAATAACAAGTTTGGTGTTAGCGGATTTGTAAAGCCAGGTGCAAAGTCCAGTGATATTTTACTAAGGGCGTTCTGTATATAATGCCTCCTATTTTTTTTAAAAGAAAACTACAACAGATACAGAAATCATAATAACACAGTTAAATAGAGCATGATTTCAGCTACTTACAGCTATTTTTTCACATAATCACCACCATTCGTTATGCACTTTTGCCATCGATGAACAAGAGCCTGTATGCCGTGCCTGTAAAAGTCTGCGCCAGCAGAGGCTAGCCACTTTCTTACAGCTGCAATGACAGCGTTGTTGTCTGGAAAATGTTGCCCACATAGTCCGTCTTTCATAGGTCCAAAGAGATGGAAGTCTGAAGGTGCTATAAGGTGGATGTGGTAGGACAGTCCAGCCAAAGTTTGCAATGTGCGCGGTGGTCGCCAAACTGGTGTGGGGTCTAGTGTTATCATGTTGCAAGCGAAAGGTTGTCTGCTTCTCTGGCCTGACTCGGGAAATACGGGCTTTCAGCTTAGTCAGTGTCATCTTGTAGTGTTCAGAATTGACAGTCCCTGGTCGTTATCTGCTGATCTGTTCGGATGAGGCGCTGTTCATTGTGAGGACTGGCAGCTGAAGGGACGCCCATGGTATGGCTTGTCGTGCACTTCACTTTCGCCGCTGTTGAAACGCACTACCCACCGAATCACTGTGCTGACATCCACTGTATTGTCTCCGTACACCTTTAGCAAGCGTCGATGGATGTCAGTGGGTACAATTTGTTTGGCAGTGAAAAATTCAATAACACATTTCTCTTTCATACGCACTTCTCTGTCAGATGCCATTTTGGTATACTTCTCTGCTGTCGCTATCTGTTACACGACAACCAAATTAACAGTACATTGGTGGGAAGGTTCAACCTTTACTACAATACCACCAACATCCAGCTCAGACGTTACATATTAACACAAAAAAATAGGGGGCATTATATACGGAATGCACCATGTAGATACTAATATTGATAAAGACATGTCAAAAGATGATGATGTAGTGGTGTGCGCATGCAAAGGCAGGATTGAGAAACATAATTAACTTTGTAAGGAGGACCAGTCATACCAACATCATAGTTATGGAAGCACTACAAAGACATTGATTGGTTATATGTTAATAAAGAGGCTAGATTATTTAATAGACATCTAGCCAAAAGGCTGAAATGTTATGAACATGTGTTGATTAGTAGTGTAAATCTTGACAGGCAGCATTTTACAAGACATGGGCTTCACATAAATAACGGAGGAAAGGAGAAAATATGTCAACAGATAGCGGAACTGGTTCAGTGGAAGCTTGGGTCAGTAGTTAACGCTATTCCACTAGAATATAAAGAAGACATTGTCCTTGAGGAGGCTGCTGGTAACCAGGGGAACGAAACAGAGAAGATTGTATTAGATCCATTACTCAACTATATGGTGCTATCTGAAAGTGATCAACACCAGGAAGTTTGTATGTCAACCAGAGTAAGGAGGCCCCCAGTAAAGTTAACAAAGATTTTTTGTAAATAAGCAGAAAGCTGGTATTTTGAAGTATAATAATAAAATCAGTACCAGCATTCAAATATTCATCATAACATAGAAAGTTTAAATAATAAAAAGTTGAATATTGATGTGTTACTGATAATGCACTAGATTTGGATGTGCTATGCATTACCGGACATTGGGTGGGGGAAAATGAAATTAATTCTGAGAACTTTTCCCTTGTCTTGAAATTTTGTAGGAAAAAGTAAACACCACGGGCATTCGTGTATTTATGTTAAAACAAATTTGGAAGCAGAGCCTTATAATTTGATAGTCTGAATCAAGAAGAGCATTTTGAAGCCAGTATAATTGAACTAAACCAGTTTAATACAATTATCATTTGTGTATAGTAAAATTAATATATTTATTGAAACTATGGATACTATACTTAGTAAATTAATAAATGAAGGGAAAGGTATTATTGTTATTGATCTCAACATAGATTTCTTGGGCAGAAGTGTAAATCTACAACTGCAGACAATGTTAAATTCATATGGCTTGCAAGCAGTAGTGGATGTCCCAACGAGAATAGGGTCTAGATGTCAAACAGCCATAGATGAAATAATGATACAAGTCCTTATGGGATTACAAATTTAAGGTGATCGCAGCAGGATATTCTGACCATTATGCACAAATACTAAAAGTACAGATGCAGTATAAGAAGAATAAGAGGCAAGATATTGTCAAAGAAGAATTTAGACCTGTTAGATCTTGTGGGGAAGAGAATGTTCAGTATTTAAATTATCTATTAGAGAAAGAGACTTGGGGGCTTGTTTTTAAGCAAACCTCAGTGAACAATGCATACAACGAATTTCTACTTATTTTTCAGTACTATTATGATGTAGCTATGCCTAGAAAAAGGGTAAAATTTAAGCAGCAGAAAAATAAATGGGTTACCTCAGGTATAAGGGTATCAAGTATCAAACTTAGGTTTCTTAATAGACTAATGAAGGAAGCAAATATGTCAGAAGAATTGAAAAAGTACTGTTGTGGGTACAAAAAATATATAATAAAAGTTATCAGTGATGCCAAAAGAATAACTATTAACATGTAAATAAATACGTCCGGGAATAAATCAAAAGCTATGTGGGACTTAATCAAGGAGGAACTAGGTAAACAGAAGAAAGAAACTAGGAATATTGAATTCAGTGTGAATGGCGTAAATATTCAGGATCCAAAAGTTATAGCCGATGTTTTTAATGACTATTACACTAGTATTGCCCATAATATTCTGAGTAGTAATTTATTACCAAGAAATATTGAAGTTGGTGCCAATACAGTAAAATATAATGGTAGACGCATGTTTTTAACTCCAACTACTGATGTGGAAGTGGTAGGCATAATTAAAGGATTGGATAATAAAAAATCAATGGGTATAGATGATATCTGTGGGTATATTATCGAAAAATGTTATCCTAGGATTATAATTGTTTCAACATATATAATAAATTTGTCACTCTTAACTGGGTATTTTCTTGACCTGTTAAAAATTGCAAAAGTGAAACCTTAGTATAAAATAGGACCTGATACAGATGTTGGGAATTATAAACCAGTTTCACTGATTTCTGTTTTTTCAAAAATAAATGAAAAAATCATGCATAAAAGGCTTTCATCATTTAAAAATATTTTTAGTATAATTAATAATAAACAGCATGGTTTCTGCAAAGGGAAATCAATGAATACTGCAATTGCCAAGTTCATTAACAGGGTCTACAAATCTTTGGATAAGAGGGATATAAGTATAGGATTATTCTTGGATTTGTCAAAAGCGTTTGACTTGGTGGCTCATGATATCTTGTTAAAGAAAATGTCAGGAATGGGAATATGAGGGGTATCATTAAAATGGTTCCAATCATCTCTAAAAAATAGGGAACAGATTGTAGAAATTACATACAGTTGTAAAGAAACAAATAGAATTATTAAGAAAGCAGTCTTCTGGAATTTGGCACCGTGTATATGTGGTGTTAACCGACGTTTCGGAGGAACGTATCGCCTCCATCTTCAGGGTAGAAGAAAAAGTATAAGAATTCTGCAAGCGACAAGACCGTGAGAACGGTAGAAGCAAACTGGAAATAACACAGCTGTGTGTTAGCAGAGAGGGAAGGGGGGAAGGGCAAGTATACAAGTGAAAGCAGTGGTGTGGGAGGGGTAGGGGAAGGGTGCTGGGGCAAGTGTGGTTTTGTGTACGGGAGTGTAAAGCAAGGTTAAAGGCTGGGCTCTAAACCAAAGGCTGAGGGGGGGGTTGTTATGTTGGTTGGTCATGGCCTTCCTTCCCTATGTCAGGACCATATTCAACCGTATCAGCAGAGTGCTGTCCCGGCACAACATCAAAGCAGTAGTCTGCCTCCATACAAATTATCCAGTTTCCTCTGGCCGGTTAAAGACAGCCTGGGCCTAAGGACACCGGGTGTATACAGTATCCCATGCGAGTGCGGGAAAGTCTATATTGGGCAGACAGGCTGCTCCGTGGACACGAGGTTGAAGGAGCATCAGCGGCACATCCGTCTCGAACATCCGGACAAGTCGGCCGTAGCTGAACACAGCATCGAACTGGGACACCGCATTCAGCTTCAGAATACCTCCATCCTCGCCACCAAGACGCGCTATATGGATCGCATCATTAGGGAAGCCATTGAGATTGAACTGCATCCAGGGAATATGAACAGAGAGGAGGGGTTTCGTCCCAGCAAGTCTTGGAAACCTCTTATCTGTTCTCTTAAAAAACCCCCACCGGGATATGACGCCAGATCCAGAAGGCCACAAGGCCATGACCAACCAACATAACAACCCCCCCCCCTCAGCCTTTGGTTTAGAGCCCAGCCTTTAACCTTGCTTTACACTCCCGTACACAAAACCACGCTTGCCCCAGCGCCCTTCCCACTGCTTTCACTTGTATACTTGCACTTCCCCCCTTCCCTCTCTACTGACACACAGCTGTGTTATTTCCAGTCTGCTTCTACCGTTCTCACGGTCTTGTGGCTTGCAGAATTCTTATACTTTTTCTTCTACCCTGAAGATGGAGGCGATACGTTCCTCCGAAACGTCGGTTAACACCACATATACACGGTGCCAAATCCCAGAAGACTGCTTTCTTCATAGTCACCGCCGTGAAAGCCTCAAATCTTAAATAGAATTATTGTTTATCGCAAAAGAGACCAATAAGATATGGTGTCCCACAGGGCTCTGTTCTTGGACCTGTGCTGTTTCTGCTATATACTGTATTAATGATTTAGAATCCTGCATTGAGCATGGAAGGCCAACGATTTTTGCTGATGATACAAGTATCTTTATTGCAGGAAATAGTGCTAATAATGACCAGAGTAAAATAAATGAAATAATAAATAAATTTACAGAGTTGTTTGAAAGGAATAGATTTGTTATTAATGAAGATAAAACAATAGCAATATGCTTTCATCAACTTCAAAGAGTACATTTTGAATGTCCTTCAATAAAGATCTATGATACAATTATTAAATATTCAGAACAGCTAAAAATCTTGGGAATTTGGCTGGATAAAAATTTAAGCTGGTCTATACATACTCAAGAACTATCAAAAAAGATATGCAAACTATGTTTTGGTTTATGAGTAATCAAAAGAGTATTACGGTTCGAGACTGTTCGTACTTTATATTACCCTTACTTTCAATCCTTGTTATTATATGGATTGATATTCTGTGGTAATTCAGCAAATGCAAAATTGATCTTTAGGTTGCAGAAGAGAGCTGTTAGAGCTATGATGCAAATTCCAAAAATGACTAGTAGCAAACAATATTTTAAATATTTACGCATGTTACACTGACTATGTTTTATATATATATACAAAATTTTAGTTTGAATGAATGAATGAATAAATGTATAAGGGGTAGACCTTCTCGGCCCTTGCACTGCGACTTACAGTGGTCTATTGTGCTTAAATTTTAGTTTACATTAAATCCAATATGAATCTTTTTACAACCAATTCAAGGATACACTTGTATAATACTAGGAATAAAGATGATTTGTTTATTGTTCCATATAATACTAGTCTATGCATAAACAACTTTAATAACAGTGGACTTCGTATGTTAAATTATCTACCACATTATTTTAAAGAGATACTAGTACTATAAAAGTTTAAGAATGCTCTGAAAATATTCCTATTTGGTCATTGTTTTTATAGTATAGACGTGTTTTTCTTGTTTAGGGAAAAGTCTTAGTACCTGTCATTTGTAACCATGTATTTTAAGAATAATTAATTTGTAGATTGTTGAATATTAGTGCAAATCATGGGAAAGTCTACTGTTTAGCTTTGTTATTTATTCCATGAATTAGGTCACTATGTGACAGGGAAATATATATTTGCATAGGTTACTTGAGGGAGATCGAAATTTGCAAAGTGTCTTGTGCCGGGATAGTGGGATTAGTGTATTAAGGCGTGTTGTTGTGTGTGCATTAAAATTAATATACTAGTGTTATCATTACTATTATTTTATTATTTTAATTTACTATAAAGATCAAGTATTTTATATAGAAAATATTTTACTTGTCCTATATCATGTATAATGATCCATGGATGTTAATAAAAATAATAAATAATAATAAACGATAACCATGTTAGTCACAAAATCTGTTGTTTTTAGGGACGTGTGGGTGGGAGCATTGTCGTGATGAAGGAACAGTGTGGAACATGTTAACATTTTCTATTGTAACGTGTTTACGTTACCGAAGACGCCGTAGAGATGGTTAATTGGTTTATTTAACAATCTACAAATAACGGCTACAATTAATTATCATAATATCACGGGTTTCCACACTTTACAAACCCTACAACAAATCTCTTAACACTGTCTTCACTTGTCTTCACGTACTACTAACGCGGGAGCTATACAAGTCTCCCTGAATTACACACTCCGAGTATAACTGTACTACAGCACTCACTATGTCTGGAAAGCACACAATAAGTCTTCCCCTCGCTGACTTCTTAGTTATCGCACACTCGCAGGCTGCTATGTTTCAACTGATGATCACACTGCTGTGGAGTCCGCTTATATAGCCTTGCGCTGTTGCTAGTGTGACGTGGCGTATAGCCTAGGACGCTGTTGCCAGTGTAATGTGCGTATAGCATAGGACGCTGTTGCTAGTGTGACGTCACCGCTGTTGATTAGCATTGCGTAGTTGCCAGGTTACGGGGCTCGGCTATCTTCGGCTCCGCTCGGCTCTTTTCGGCTCCGCTCTTGACGTCACCGCGTGTTGCGCATTGCGGGGTGATTACTCGCCTATTACGCGAGCGCTCAGTTACCGCTGAGGGGTGGGAGGGGAGCGCTGACTCACCCGCCGCGTCACTGCTGGTGTGGGGTGCGATCTCGCAAACTCCATAACTGGTCCTAATTGTGTCTGCGAGCTCATGGATTGTCTGGCAACAGGCTTCATGAATGAGTTTCCAAATTTTGTCAACATTTTCTGTCATTTTGTTTGTGCTTGGTAGCCCTGAACAATCATCTTCAAATGACACCTGACCAGCCTTGAAACCTGAATGCCCTTGGAAAACAGATGTCCTGCATAAAGAATATAGAATATTCTCCAAAAGCCTCACGAAGCATTTCACGGGTTTTGGTAGCAGATTTACAGAGCTTCATGCAAAACTTGATGCAGACACACTGCTCGATTTTGCCATCCATCACAGACAAAATGAAACACAAAGTTGAAAAAGCACTCATGTGAAAACAGTGCATGTGTGTTCACAGCACAGTGTCACACAGCAAACTATAACTGACCCACTCAGTGAGGCTTCAAGCCCCACAAGTTGGTTGCCACTTTTAACTGTCCTCTTAGTGCCCTTACGTTGGTCTCCACTTTCATCCGCCACTTCCTTGTTGCTGTTTGGTTCAGGGTAGGGTGTGGGATTACTCTGAATTTGAATTTGTATGGGCACCAGTGGACTTGGATGAAATCCATGAATTTGGAACGGGGAAAACAAAGGTGGGACATGGATAGGCGGGCATTTGGGGTTTCGGCTGCTCAGACGGTAGGACAAGATTCTGTCTCAGGGCGACTTCTGGGCCTTGCTCACACAAGGACATAGAAAACACATGAAACACACACTTCACTCAACACTGTTGCTCTTTATTTGCAGATGTGAACTAGAAGTACATACTACAAGGCTGTAGTACTTTTGAATTTGTGTACCGAACCCGGCCAACACCTATTTAACATCCGGGAGGCTACTCCTGTTACTCCCCTTAAATGACTGACCCCTCCAGAGAGGCAGAAGTCTTGACGGTTCCGGGAACACCCGGTTTCATCACCTCTGAAATTTTGCTGATTGGCTGAACCTAAAATTTGGGTGTTACTCTCATTTACATTCAGCCAATCCATAACAAGATCCATGTAAATTTGGGCCTAAGTACAAGACGGTCCATCTGACAGCTCTCAAATAAATGAAGGTACACTAACGATCGCTCGGTATGCCCCATCAAAAATTATTGTGACACGTATCTGTCAAGTCTCAAATTTTCAAAGACTTGTACTGCCGAAGTTAAGCATTGAAATTCCCAGAAAATGCAGCGGGATACTTCCTGCTCCATTCTGAGTTTTCAAGTGACCTGCAACTTGCTTGTCCCTCAGAAAGACCAGATGTCATCCTTGGTGCCTGCTGGTGCTGGGGTCAATTGTGTATCATCTTTTGTTAATTGGTAATACATTTCGTTTACTTGTAGTACATTATAATTAAGAATGTAAATCAACAACATTGGTGAGGTTCCTGCATGGTGCAGTTACAAAACTGATGCAGTAGGCTTTCGGAGATGTGACCTTGGCCTCCTGTCTCATCTTCTTTCACCAAGGCAGTTACAACAATAACAGTCTGGGAATTTTCCAATACAGCCTCATATCTATGGTGCTAAAATAAAATTAATTCCTATGTCATTTCTTTCTTATTGTGGGGAATACAGCATGCAGTTAATGAACTGGATGATATTGGTGTGTTGATTTTTTTTAATCTGCAATAATAATGAGATGGCACAAGAGTTGTGTTCTTGTCAAGAGATGGGCCATCTGCAGTGCTTCCTTCATGAAATCTGGTCACCACATAGGATGTATCTGACCACAGGTTCTTCAGAGTTGGTGTGCACAGTGGAGAATGGCGGTCTGCTGGGCAGCAGGAAGGGTGTGAATCTTCCAGGAGTGCCTGTGGACTTGCCTGCAGTATCTGAGAAGGACAAGGCAGATCTAAGGTTTGGGGTTGAACAAGAAGTAGACATGATATTTGCTTCTTTCATACGTGATGCAGCAGCCCTTCAAGAAATCCGTGGAATTTTAGGTATATTAAAAAAAAAGCATGGTATCTTATTACATGTTTTTAATTCTAAATGCTGTAGTTACTCAGTATAGAAATGGAACACTTAATGTCTCAAATGAAGCTAACACTTACTTATGGAGCTGAGCCCTTCTAGAGGAGAAGCTAAATCTGCAGCTACTCAAGAATTTCCCAGAATTTTATGGAACCCGATGGTTCATTACTGTGTTCACAAGATCCCTCCACTGGTCCCTATCCTGAGCCAGATCAATCCAATCCATACCATCCCATCCTATCTCTATGAGAACATTTCACATGCCGAATCTCATGCTCATTTTCTTTAGCTTAGGTCATTTATGCAAGTAATCTGTCCAGGTCCGAGGCTTCTTGAGAATTTTTGTAACAAGTTTATTTTTTTATGGTGAGGAGTTATTAGCTCCATGTCCAACTCCAAGCTGGAGGACTACACCTTGTCAGCTGTTCGCAACTGCTTATTCAATATATTCTCAGCTTTTCTCTATTCTTGGAGGGTGTCTCCTCCATCTGCAACCTGAGGATGTGCCATGCTGTGGTGACAAGGGACCCACCCACCTAACATGGAAGCTAACACTTAAAAGAAGTAATACATTTAGCATCTTGTTTGCAAAAATCTGGTGGATGATCAGAACTTTGGCTTTCACCTGGCTTGTCCAGAAGTTGCAAGAAAGTGAGGCAGTATTTTATGTTAAATTTTGTAAATAGTTTACTCATTGTGAAAATTTGCCGCTTTGGTAAGAGAGGACAGTGTTTAAAGTTCTGGTTTTGCAGCATTCAGAGACTTGTGCTATGTTTGTGTTCAGATTAAGTTGACAAACATTTGGAGCAGTTTTATAATAACTGAGCAGTGGGATGTGAAAATCTGAAGCTCTGTAGACAATTTGGTCTGAATTCATTAAACATGGTCATAAATAATTACAATGTAATTATATCCTGTTTCATGTTTTTTGTGGATTCTGTCTTCTGACAAACTTAGTTTGGGGTTTAGATTGTGTGTTATGACACAATGTAGTCTTGTATGCTGATAACTGGCTCACATGAAAGCAATTTTCACAAGGGATTCTGCAGGGCGAGATATTATAGTAAGATAAGAGTTTAGTGGGTATGTATGGCTGACATCAGAATTCCAAAAAGCCTCTGAACAGAAAGGAATTGAATTGAATTTATTTACATTCTATAAATCATAAGCAGGTTAGTACCTTTGGATACAGAACAAGTCAAAAGGTTACATAAGTACAGGCAGTTTTAGCTTAAAAATTAATATAACTTAATTTTACATCATTCTCTATTTACATTGAAGTATTCATCTAAAGAGTAGAAGGAATGAGCATGTAGATAATTCTTTAACTCTGATTTAAACTTTTTAGTATCATTGCCCAAGTTTTTAATACTTTGTGGCAGATTGTTGAACACTTTTATGCCAGTAAAGTAGACTCATTTTTGATATACTGATAAAGTTGATGAGGGTAGGTGGAAGTTATATTTTTGTCTAGTATTCATGTTATAGACATCAGAATTTAATTTGAATTTATCTTTGTTGTAAACAACAAATAAGAGAAGCGATAATATGTATGTTCAAGGGGTTATTGTTCATAACTAATCCATGGAAGGGGGAGGCCCTGCTTTTTGTTAGAGATGGATTACTACTAGGCTGTAGTATTTTAGATCTGTAACAAGGCTGGTTTATTATTTAGAATCCATATATTTTGAATAACTTTGAAATCTTTAAACTAGAAGTGATCATTCTCAGAAGTTATGTGCTTGGTAACACACAGTTTGGAGCAGTTTTAATTCTTGCTACAACTTCATATTACCGATGTTATTGTGACACATCTGGACTAAATTTTGCACCCCAATAATGCGAAACAATATTTTATAACATAAACATATCATAGTTATTGAACTGCTTGCCATATAAATAGTGTAATGAGTCATTCCATGTGAAGTCATCCAGAGAGGTCACTCACCATTTTTTAAAAAAATTCATATTTTGTACACTTATTTCTACACATTTTCACACCACAATTTTTTTTTTAAATTGTAATCTGCTCGGTTCTCCCGGTACAACCGTTTTTATAATGCGAAAAAACGCGTTTTCGGCTCAAATGGAGGTTTGTGTTATCTTCTATATCTCGATAACTATTGAAGCTAGAGACTCCAATGAAAAAAAGAATTTGTTCCTCATGATATGGACTACAAATCATATCATTACAAGTTTTTACTCAACTCACTTTCTCTAGGTGTAATTAAGCTTGAAACCTACCTATCGATTTTGGGGAAAGGGGAATGCAAAGGGGAAAGTATCAGATCTGTGGTTTCTACCCTTTGTTTTTACCTACATGAGGAATATGATCATGTAGTTTTGAACCCCGTACCTATTTTCCAAAAATTTCCAGGAGCTTCCAAACTTTGCTCTGGACCCAAAATCCGCCATTTTTAACATCTCATATCTCTGGTGGGGAAGCTCCAAAAATTTTGAAACTCGTAGCAAATAATGCTCTATTCTAAAGTAACATGAAATTAAAATTACAACTTTGATATTCAACTAATAGCGAAGTTCTTATAGTGCGAAAAAATGCGCTTTCGCCTGAAATGGATGTTTGTGTTATCTCCCATATCTCGATAACTACAGAAGCTAGAGACTCCAATAAGAAACCAATTTGTTCCTCATGATATGGACTATAAATCGTGTTATTACAAGGTTTCACTCAACTCACTTCCTCTAGGTCTAATTAAGCTTGAAAGTTACCTATCAATTTTGGGAAAAAGGCTATTTTTCACCTTCAGAAACCAGTGGGAAGGGGAAGTATCAGATCTGTGGTTTCTACCCTTTGATGTTTCCTACATGGGGAACATAATCATGTAGGTTGAACCCCGTACCTAGTTTCCAGAATTTTCCACGAGTTTTCAAACTTTGCTCTGGGCCCCAAATCGGCCATTTTAACATCTCATATCTCTGGTGGAGAAGCTCCGAAAATTTTGAAATTCATAGCAAATAATGCTCTATACCAGAGTAACTTGAAGTTAAAATTACAACTTTGATATTCAACTAATAGCGAAGTTGTGAACACTTTGAATTTCACAGAGTGAACCATATATTAATACCTTTGCTGATTTAATTTAACTTCATTTGTGCTGGATTGATAATATCTATTATCTTCTGATTTAAAACTGGATGGTAATTTTAATATTGAAGTCTGTTGAGTTGGGTTTTCTGGTCATGCTGCAAATCTCCCTTCCATAAGAAATGGATAGGAAAGTCGAGTTGTGAATGGATCTCCTGTTACATGTTTTAATTCTCTCTTTTTCACATTGTGTTCTGTATTTTCTGGTATCATTCAGTCTTGAAAATCTCGAACCATGAGTGTCTTTGTAACTGTCCCCTTTCCTTTGTATTTATATGCTAGCTCTGGTAGACCTTGAAGCCAGTCCACTGCTCCAAATCGATGACACAACTTTCATTGTTAATAAACTGTTTGTTCATTTGAAAATGAAACTTTTCAAATTCCTTCGTGCAAGCAAGGAGTAATCTTCTTCTTCTATGGCGCAACAACCCGATGTCGGGCCTTGGCCTCCCTTATCAAGCCCCTCCATTCCTCACTGTCCTGTGCTGCTCTCTTCCAGTTCCTTACACCCATTCACTTCTTTGCATCTTCTTCCACAACATCAATCCATCCAGCTCTTGGTTTCCCTGCATGTCTCCTACCACCTATTGTACTATATAATAATTTTCTTTGGCCATTATATTTAAGCAGTGTCCGTCTTTTAATGCACTCAATTTTACTTCTTATTTCACAACATGTTTCGACACTACAGTGCCATCATCAGGTGCTCCATTTACGTCAATCTATTTCATTGCTTGCCATTACGTCATTGTAAAATTTAAAAAGTATTTAAAAATATTTGTCAATTATAATAAATATACAGTAAAACTTGGTTATAGCAACATCGGTTTCTGCGACACCTTGTCTATTGCGTCAAATATTCAATGGTATGAATTAATTCCTCATAAAGCAACTGTTTTTATACCTTGCTTAGTACGACATGCACAAATGCATCAACCTCGTATGTAACGTCATTTTCATTCCTGAATCTCTCTGATATGGACATTGAACGTAATTTAGAAAGTGTGTATTGGGCAAGTAACAGGAAACAGATGAAGATAACTGATTACTGTACTCGTATCTAGGT